CAATTCATTTGAGGGTACCACCTACCTTCTCTTCTAAAAGGTTCAGTGTGTCTGGACTTATGTTGAGGTCTTTGATCCATTTGGACTTAAGTTTTGTGCATGGTGATAGATACAGATCTATCTACAGTCTTCTACATGCCACCATCCAGCTATGCCAGCATCATTTGTTGAAGATGCTTTCTTTTTTCCATTGTATAATTTTAGTTTGTTTGTCAAAAATCAGGAGTTCATAAAAAGTGGGTTAATATCAGGGTTTTCAATTCAATTCAAATGGGTCTACCTGTCTATTTTTGTGCTAATACCAAGCTGTTTTCAGGACTATAGCTCTATATTAGGGCTTGAAGTCAGGAATGGTGATGCATTTGGAAGTTCCTTTACTGTACAGGGTTGTTTTGGCTATCCTGGGTCTTTTGTCATGTAAAGTTGAGAATTGTTCTTTCAAGGTCTGTGAAGAATTGTGTTGGGATTTTGGTGGGGATTGCATTAAATTTGTAGATGGCTTTCAGCAAGATTTCCATTTTTACTATGTTGATCCTACCTATTCAAGAACATGGGAGATCCTTCCGTTTTCTGGTATCTTGTTTAATTTCTTTCTTTAAAGACTCAAAATTCTTACGATATAGGTATTTCACTTTTTTTGGTTAGCATTACCCCAAGGTCTTTTATGTTGTTTGTGGCAATTGTAAAGGGTGATGTTTCTATAATTTCTTTCTCAGCACATTTATCATCTGTAAATAGTAGGGCTACAGAATTGTTTGAGTTAGTCTTGTATCTTGCCACTTTGCTGATGGTGTTTATCAGCTGTAGGAGTTCCCTGGTAGAGTTTTTCTGGTTACTTATGTAGACTAACATATCATCTGCAAATAGTGAAAGTTTGTCTTCATCCTCTCCAATTCGTATCCCATTGATCTCTTTTGTTGTGTTATTCCTCTAGCTAGAACTTCAAGGACAATATTGAAGAGGTATGGAGAGAGTGGACAGCCTTACCTTATCTTGTCCCTGATTTTAGAGGAATCACATTGAGTTTCTCTCCATTTAGTTTGATGTTGGCTGTTGGCTTGCTGTTTATTGCCTTTATTATGTTTAGGTATGTTCCTGTTATCCCTGATCTCTCCAAGACCTTTATCATGAAGGGGTGTTGGATTTTTGTCAAAGGCTTTTTCAGCATCTAGTGAGATGATTTTCTTTCTCAGTCTGTTTATATGGTGGATTACATTAATGGATTTTCGTATGTTGAACCATCCTTGCATCCCTGGGATGAAGCCTACTTGATCATGGTGGATGATTTCTCTGATATGTTCTTGGATTTGATTTGCCAGTATTTTATTGAGTATTTTTGTATCAATGTTCATGAGGGATATTGGTCTGTAGTTCTCTTTCTAGTTGTGTCATTGTGTGGCTTAGGTACCAAGGTTATTGAAGCCTCATAAAAAGATTTTGGCAAAGACCCTTCTGCTTCCTGGATATTTTGTGTTAGGGATTTGTTGGACTTTCTTTGGTCGATGAGTCTATTTCTCCTAGTGTATCCTCAACACCTGAGATTCTCTCTTCCATCTCTTGTATTCTGTTGGTTATGCTTGCATCTGTATTCCTGATGGTTTACCTAGCTTTTCTATTTCCAGCATTCCCTCAGATATTGCTTTCTTTATTGTCTCTCAGTTTTTAGGTGGAACAACAAATCTTAAGAGATTTGTTGATTTCTTTTATTGTTTGGTTTGTTTTTTCTTCCATTTCTTTAAGGGATTTTCCCATATCCTCTTTGAGGGCCTCTATCATTTTCATGAAGTGTTTTTAGGGTCATTCTCTTCTGTTTCATCTGTGCTGTGATGTTCAGGTCTTGCTGGTGTAGAGTACCTAGACTCTGTTGGTGTCATATTGGTTTTTCTGTTGTTGAATATATTTTTATATTGTCTTCTTCCCATCCCTTCTTCCAGTGTGTGTAGCAGGAGTGTCTTTCTCTCCTGGTGGGTATAGGACCAATGTTCCCCTCAGGTGGGTGTAAACAGGTTCAATACTCTGATGTCTCTCCTCTTCCAGTGGATGGAGGCAGAACTAGTACCAGGGCCTTGGCAGTCTCTGGGAGGGCTGGATCCTGCTGGGATGGGACTGGCCTCAGGTGTCTCTGAGCAGGGCAGAGGAAGGCAGGTGGGAAACAGGTCCAAGCTCACCTAGTCCGGTGGGTGGAGGAAGAGACTAGGACCCTTGCAGTCTCTGGGTGGGCTGGATCCTGCCCAATTGGGATCCCCAGTGAGCCATCCCAGGCCTCAGGTGTCTCCGAGTAGGGCAGAGGAAGGCAGGCTGCAAACAGGACCAAGCTTATCTAGTACAGTGGATGGAGGCAGGCTTCTAGCGCTATTTGTACTTTCTTGGAATATAAAATGACACTATTTCATCAACTACAAGGCAATAGAAGTTAAGAACATTTCTAGACAAGACTAAGACTTTCTGCTGAGTTTTTAGTGCAAGACAAAGCATTAGCAAAAAGTGATATAACTAAAACAGGAGCACTCACGTTATAAATTCTTTATATTCAAAACCTTAAGTGATGCATGTATTTATAAATAGTATCTGGGCATACTTCCCATTATGAGGTTTTTGTCAGCTGCTCTTCATATATTATTTTAGTAGTCACCATAACTTCAATGAAAGCTTCCTTTTCTGTAGGATTCTCTTTCCAGTGAGAGTAAGTTTTCATAGCTCACATGGTATCTTAGAGTTGCTATTGCTATGATGAAACACCGTGACCAAAGCAACTTGGAGAGGAAAGTATTTATTCAGCTTAAACATTTACATCACTGTTCATTATCAAAGGAAGTCAGTACAGGAACTCTAACATTGGGAGGAATCTGGAGGCAGGAGCAGACACATGGAGGAGTGCTGTGTACTGGCTTGCTTCCCATGGCTTGCTCAGTCTGCTTTCTTATAGAACCCTGGACCACCAGCCCAGGGATGGCACCACACACAATGGGCTGGGATCTCCCACCTCAATAACTAATTAAGAAAATGCCCTACAGGCTTGTCTATGACATGGTTTTATGGAGGCATTTTCTCCATTGAGGTTCCTACCTCTCTGATTATGCTAGCATGTGTCTAGCCAGTAAACATGGCTAATATGTTGTGATATGAACATAGCTTCATCTCACTATGCAGACCATGCTTTTTCACACGTAGCATCATAATATAAGTTTCCTCAACACAAGCTGAGGATGACGGAGCTGGACTCAAACTCATGTACATCTTGACTTATAAGTCTGTGAGTGCTATCCACTATAAAAGCTATCTCAAAGCAAGAAAAGATGTTCTTTCTAGTCATAAAATACAATAGCATTTAAGGCTTAATTTTAAAGGTAATTTCTCATTAGCTCTCTTTACCAATGAATTCTAATGATTGATATTCACTTTCAAGAATTTTTAGAGAAAGCTAAGAGTGGAGATTGATGTATTTATATTATTAAGAAGAAGTCAGCTGGGCATTGGTGGCGCACACCTTTAATCCCACACTCGGGAGGCAGAGGCAGGCGGATCTCTGTGAGTTCCAGGCCAGCCTGGTCTCCAGAGTGAGTGCCAGGATAGGCTCCAAAGCTACACAGAGAAACCCTGTCTCAAAAAACCAAAAAAAAAAAAAAAGAAAAAAAAAAGAAGGCACATTATAATTGAATAAAAAAGTGAGATGCATAATAAAAATAATAATAGTATTAATAACATTCATAATTTATATTGTTTGTTCCTTGATGCTTTAAGTTCTTCATCTGTACTGACTTAACACCAAGGTCTACAGGCAGGAAATATTGTCATTTTCAGAGTTAGGGATGAGGAAACATCCACAGAGATTTCACTGATTTTCTAAGGTTGCCATTACCCAGGTGGGGATGGTGAATCTCACATTTAAACCAGGTGACCTAGTTGCATGTTCACATTTTTAACCACTTGGCTATTGGGGCATTCTTTATAGAAAGAGCTAAAACTGATGACTTTTCTATTCAAAACTTGTCAGTGAATAGTTCTCTACTATTATGGATAAGATCTAGAATGATGAATTTGATTCATGAGAGTCTGTAGTTAATTTATTTTTCTTGCTTATTTAAATTCTGTAAGATTTCCCTGCAACACAATGTAATTAGTGAGTTAAAAATGTTGATCCTGGCCTTAAAATTAGATAGAGTACAATATAGTTAGCCTATCTATCCTTTGTAGGTAGACTTAAAAAAATTTGTTTCAAAAAGTGTTCAACACTTGTATCATCTAACACTTTGAATGTGTTTGTGTGTGTTGGTTTGCATTCATATTTTAGGGCTGTCCATAGCTACATCCAAAGTTCTTCAAGCACAGATGATGAACTCAGTATGCTGAAAAATGAAATCTCTCTAAATCTATGTGAGAAAAACATCCTACCCAAGTATAATATGATTAAAAACAAAACATGGGTTACTTAAGGGTAAAGTTTGTACCAAACTTTTTATGCTTTCTTTAGAAAGGTCATCTAATTCTTACTAGCTTTTCTCTGTAAGAAGACTCACTATAGTGACCAATAGTGATGAGCAAGACTAACAGCACAGTGCATCAGGGCAGTTCACACAGTAGAAAGCATCCTGCTTTCAAAGGTCACGAGAAGTTTACCTTTTCAACTACTTAGTTTAATAAATGTAAATGCTAACTTTCCGACTTCAGAGGTTGGAGTTGTGCAAGCACTGGTCACTAATTTGCCCACAAAACACTATCCCAGATACTTCCACCAGCATTTATTCACTTGATTTGAAAATGCACAATCAGCATTTCCAATATACTTATTTTTAAAAATTCTTGTAATCCTAATCAATCACCCCCTGTTTACTTTGGCAAGCTGGGGATGACAAGAAAACATCTGTGGATTACAGACAGCTTCTGAGTTTGTGAAATTTGCTTCTTTGCTCCTATTCTGACCAACTCTCCAAGCCCCATAAAACCTTGATTTTCACCATCTCCCAGAAAAAAAAATTGAAAAATAAAACCCAGAACTATTATTTGTTAATATAACAAATTAAAATTTAATGAATCGGATGACATTTTAATTCATGGAAAAGAAAGTAGGGTGAGTTTCAAATTATTTCAAGGCATTTTATTTTGTTTTTTTCCCCCTCAAAGGATGAAGACCTTTAACAAAAAGACAGTAGATCAGAAAACACACACTAACTATAATAAGCAAAGGTAGATGGCAGATTCCTTAATTGTCTTGAAAGTACTTAATAAGGACATAATCTCAAAGTATGTATGGTTATGAGTATTTTGCTTGGTGTTCAGGGACTTTATCTTGGACAGTTTTATGTGTGCTTGCTATTACACTCTTGTTCCTGCCTGAAAATATGGAGAGCAGAAGTAGAACCAGCAAAAAGCATGGTACCAGAAATTTGCTGTGAAAAAGTAAAATTTGCATATTTTTAAAAAGGATTTATTTATTTTATATTTTATGTCTCTGAGTGTCTGTTTGCATGTATGTTGGTGTGCCACATGTGTGCTAGGTGCCCACAGAGGCACGAGGAGGGCATTAGATCCTTTAGAACTGGAGTTACAGATGGATGTTAGCCACCATGTGAGTGCTGGAAACCACATCTGGGTCCTCTGCAAGATCAACAAGTGCTCTTAACTGCTGAGTCTTCTCTTCAATTCAAATTCTGTATCTTAAAAACATTTAGTTTCTTCACAAAGCAGCTTTCCCCACTTTATAGATATATTACACCTTAGATAGCCACATAAACTTTACTTTGCAGCATCAGGAATCAAGCCATAGTTGTCTTCTGTAGTTTTGAATCCAAACATTCTGCCCAAGGGTTTCAAAGTTCCCCTTGTGAAAACCTTACACAGCCCAGTCACTATCTTCTATTACATAACATATTTCTGTAGCGTTTGACTTGTTTTCCTAAAAGGACAGTGTTTCCTTTTCTTAAGCTGTCAAGCTGTTATGAAGCAGCTGTGGCCAGAAGGGAGCAAAGTTCCATGTGAATACATACCATCCTTATATAAACACATTCTCAAACACCTTCCTGAGTGGTCTTTATTTACTCTCCATCAGTTGAAGACAAATGGCTGAGTCCTAAGCAAAGGGTAAATATGTTACTCCCCCACAGCCATGACCTTTTCCCCTTCTGGTGGCATTACTGTGATGGAAATAATCCACAGTGACTTAGTATGACCCACATTATGTCTGCATTCCTGGGCTAGCATAAAGTACTGATAATCCTGACAGTGAACACAGGGTCCAGGCAGGAGAGATTCTTAAAGCTGAACAATTCTCTCAAATGACACATTACAGTCAAAATTGCATTTAGTGATTCCTTCATTTAGCTACATACCTGGTAAGTCAGAGAAGAGAAGGATGCATTCATTGAAGCCATTAGCCAAAAGCCGGTCCCGCAGCTGCTGAAGGATGGCTACTCCAATGCAGAATGGGAAAGAGGAATTTCCAAGTAATAATGTATCCCAGAGGTGGAAAATTTTGTGCAGTGGAAATACATCTATAAAAAGTTTTTAAAATGTACTTAAATAAAACCAAATTTATTAAAAATATAATTATTATATTTTAGATATAATAACCTGCATTATTAGATATATGACCATTACTACTTCAAGGTCAAGATTATTATTTAAGGGTTAATGTGTTAAACTGATAAAATGCTTGACTGTAATTTTTTTTAAAAGATTTTTATGTGTGTGTGGGTGAGTGCATGCGTGCCTGCATATGTGTGTTTGGGTGTATATGCATGTACACATGCATTCAAGTGTCTATAGGTCTATGGAGAACATCAGACCTCCTCCAGCTTGAATTACAGGTAGCTATGAGCCACCCAAAATGGATGTTGGGAACCAAACTGGTTCTCTGCAAGTTCTCTTAACTGCTCAGCCAACTCTCTAGCCCCTGATTCCATTAATTTACAGCTTCCTAAGGCCCTTTAATAAATTGTTATCAAATTGGTCAGGCATTACATTTTTGACTCCCATAAGTGGTATATTTATCCAACTCAGAATTTCTCCCAGAACTTTTATTAACACTGTCTATACAAGTTATATCCTTAGATGAACTTTAGATTTACTTTATGTACAATAAGCTAACACTTCCATTGTGCATCATAAACAACTGCTTTATTAAATTCCCACCAAAATTCTATTAATTAAAAAATGCAACTTCTTCCTCACTTAATATTATCACGAATATCTTTCTTGGCCATCTCAGGTAGACTATTTCAGATATCATCCCACTTATGTGCGCTGCATTTCAGCATGGCTGTCCACTTCCAGTATAGTCACAACGTAACTGACCAAAGTGTTACACAGTCATATCATATGGTTAATTTCATGAAGATTGCCCAGTCGAGGAAATGAAACCATGAGTTAACAGAGAATATCTGAAAAGAAAGCCAATTCAGTTGAAAACTGGCCTCAAAAATTCAATGTAAATATATAGTTGATGTTGAATTCTCTTCTTAAAAAGGAGTAAAGCTATACATGACACATAAAGTTAGATTTTAGTCCTTTTCAACATTTTTTTAATCTTTATGTCAAGAACACTTGAAATTACTGTCTATAAACTACATCATGTTAGAATTTTATAAAAATGCACATTGCATTTACTTATTATCTTCTCGTAAATTTAAAATTCAGAGAAAGAATGAGGCAGTGCTTTAGCTAACACTAAAGGGGAAATGGTACTTACGAGTGAACATGGTAAGAAACCAAGGGATGGCGTAGAGCTGTGAGCACACCAGGAGCACAGGACATGGATGGAGAGAAAGTAAAAGGCCTAATTAGAATGATCACCATCAAGCTTAATGGTTTAAAACACTGTCTTGTTCTATCCCACTGAATAAAATATAAAAGAATGCAGGTAACTATAGTTATTATCACAAGTTCATTATTATATTCATCAATTAGTATGCTTATGACCTTGGCCAAATCAAATGCAATAACAATACATAAATTTTAAGTGCATAGTTTTTAGCTGTAGAAAAATTATTTCTCAAGTTTTAAAGTTCCTTAAGATAGTTAAACTTTTGTGTTAAAATGACAGAATTATTAGTGTAACATAAATTCTAGTTGGATTTAATAATAAAATCCCAGAGACAGATATTGGAGTTAAAGCTGAAGATCAGAGAAGCAAAGCAGCCAGCCACTAGAGAGTTCTTCCCTCTACCAGTGGTCAGACTGAAGGGTCAATCCTGTCCTTACACTGCATCTCCAGACTGCATCTGTCTCCACCAAACCTCAGACTGCAAGGAGTTCCTGTCTCTTCCCACCTTATACTCCTCTCTTTATCCATCCATATCACTCCTGTCTCCAACTCTCTAGTACTGTGATTAAAGGTGTGAACTCTGTTTCTCTTTTAGACAGATTGACTCTCCTGTAGCCCAGGATGGCCTTGGACTCACAGAGATCCATCTTCCTCTGTCTCCTGAGTGCTGGGATTAAAGGTGTGTACCACCACTGCCTGACTTCTATGGCTGTGGCTAGCTTTGTACTGATCTTCAGGCAAGCTTTATTAGATCATAAACAAAATATCACTACATTGGAATGCTCAGATAAATGAATACACATTGTTTTGGGATGCATCTCTGAGCATGTTTTCAGGTAAAACTGAATTTTTAAAAAAGTGCTAGGTGGATTGTACTCCCAGAGTGAATAGGCATCACCCAGTCCACTGAATTAATCCCTGTAGAGAAGGAGGGTGCAGGAAGAATAAATCCCCCTTTCAAAGTTCTGCCTCTCTGCTTGAGTTGGGCATTTAAATTCATCTGACCCTGTTTTTAGACTGGGGCTGTTAATTACAAGTGTTAAAATTAAAGGTAATTTGTGAATGAATACAGGCTACACTTAAAGAAAGGCTTAGACTACCCACTTAGAGAAACACCCTTTCAGTGCCTATCAATTATAAATTAGGAGGGAGGGGCATGCTGTCTTGGCATTGTATACACAAGAGTATGTATGCTATCAAAAGGCCAGTCAAGAACGAAAAGTAAAAATATACAGTTCATTAAAATAGAAATACTATAACAAAACAATGAATATCAATTTCCACATCTTCATGCTGCAAATGTAAAAAAGGAAGCTAAGAATGGTATGTGGTTCATAACAACTAGTGTACATTATACAGTATAATAAAATCTAGCAAAGTGTAAATTCTATATCTTAATTTAAATTTAAAAACATGAGAGTGTTTTATTCACATTATTTGACCTTTATTTTAAGGACATAATATCAATTATGTTACCACTGACCATTTTGATAAGAGCCAATTATTAGTCATTAAGAATCTTTGGTCAAGCCGGGCGTTGGTGGTGCACGGCTTTAATCCCAGCACTCGGGATGCAGAGGCAGGTGGATCTCTGTGAGTTTGAGGCCAGCCTGGTCTCCAGAGCGAGTGCCAGGATAGGCTCCAAAGCTATACAGAGAAACCCTGTCTCGAAAAAAAAAAAAAAAAAAAAACTGGTCAAATTTTATTAATGCTACTATGCTTTGTATAAATGGTTCTGAGCACTTTTGTTCATTCACCCAACATAAAATGTCTTGTACTGTATACAAAGGAACCAGACATGTTATAAGAGACTGAAATGCTTTGTAGCTATGTGGTACAACAGCAGAGGTACTGGCTAGGGTGTTAGTAACAAAGTTGCAGAAGCTGATGGCCTCTATGATACCAAGATGATAATTTTCTTTGGGTATGGGTTACTTTATTTTTTATCCATGCATACAACAAATATAGAATAAACACTTGCTACATGCGGAGACTGTTAACAGACACACATGACAGGACAGTGACCAGGGAAGTCATAGCTTTAAGATCTAAGGATCTGAGAGTAAAGAGCAACATTTATTTATTTCATAGTTTCTAATTTCATTCCAATCAGGTTTGTGCCTGTACCCACCAAAGAAACTGTTGCCCTGGCCATTGATGTCTTGGCCACTGATGGCTTCCATGTTGATAAATCTCTATGTTCATCTTTTTTTTTTTTAAATTACTCAGTAAGGTCAGACATTTTTGACCACCCTCAATTTATGAGAACACATTTTCTCTTTACTTGGCCTCTAGACAATGTATTCATCAAATTTTCTTATAACATTTTTAATCTTAAAACTTTTAAAACTGCTGCTTATCCTATTTTTTGTTCGTTTGTTTGCTTGTTTGTTTGTTTGCTGCCTCCCAATTTTCTCTTTATTTTTTTCTGGTTTTTAAATGCAGGACCGCTAGTTCAGTTCCTAGAAACTTTTTTTTTCTATTTTTCTCTAAATACTAATTGTAGTATGAAAACTGGAATATTTTCAACTTTACCCAAAGCCCTCTCCCATAAATTCCAAACATACATTTCAAAATGCTTGATTATATCTCAGGATATATGTTAAAAATCTCTCTATCTAGCCCGGCGTTGGTGGTGCATGCCTTTAATCCCAGCACTTGGGAGGCAGAGGCAGGCGGATCTCTGTGTGTGTGCGGCACTCATCGAGTTCCAGGATAGGCTCCAAAGCTACATAGAGAAACCCTGTCTCGAAAAACAAAACAAAACAAAACAAAAAAGATCTGTCTGTCTGTCTATCCTCACTTCCTCCAAACTCTGTATCTCCATACATTTCTACAACCAGTTAAGAGCACCTTCTCCTTCCATTTGCTAAGAGAAAAACAATTTTGCAATTATTCTTGACTCCTCTCTTCTTAAACACCATGTATCTGCCACCAGCAGTCTTGCTGTTCTGCCTCTGAAATCCTTATCTGTGAGTAGTGAGAACTCATTACTTCTACTGCTAATATCGAGATTAAAGCCACCACCATCTCAGGCCCTGCCTATTCCATAGCTATGACAAACCTACTACATTTTATCCTTCCCTGTTCTTGGATTTCAACCAGCAAGATGCCAGAATTATTTGGTTATGATGTTACATCAGGGGTCACTATTCTATACAAAATTGTCTTGTTTTTTGTGGTGCTAAAATAAAGCAGTGATGATGATGTATCTGTAACACATGAAGTAATCTCCTTTCCATTTCCTGCCGTGTGACCTCATGTTTGTTCATTATGCTCCATTTACAGTGGATAGTACTTCAACATCTCTGGTATATATAAAATTTTTATGCATGAGAATTTTGCTGGGATGTATCATGTATACCATGCAAGTACCTGGAGGCCAGAGGAGGGTATATATAAAATTTTTATGCATGAGAATTTTGCTGGGATGTATCATGTATGATACAGGTGAGAGCCCCTGAAACTGGAGTCACACAGGATTGTGAGCCACCATGGGTGCTGGCAAAGAATTCGAGTCCTCTGCAAGAGCTCTTAACTGCCAAGCCACCTCTTCAGCCCTATTTCTTCTCTTGATCATAGACTTTCACAAAAGATGAAGGCACAGGGTTTTGTCTTTACCCCTTTAATGTATCCAGGGGATATGCTATTACACAGTATAGAATAGGCCCTGATACTTGTTAAAAACAGTGAGGGAAATACAAATTGGAGAGACCCAGACGATAGAACCAAATGCTCCTGAGAAGTCTGCAAACAAGCATGAGAGAATGAGGGAAGGACCCAGTCTCTGACTGACTACTCTATTGGGAAGGACATTCTCACACTAAATAGCAGGAGTACCAGAAAAATCATCAAATCTACTTTTATAGACAAACACTTAGATAACAGTTACTTTGAAGGGCTTACAATTAGGATAGTGAAGCTTACTCTAACACTATTAGAAAAGTAAATCCAGATTCAATTACGTATTTAAGATAACTCAGAGACCCTGAGGTATGGTTACTAGCACCAATATTTCTTACCAATAAAATTAAGACCAGGGAAATATAATGATACTATGTGAGACATATTCCTCTATCCTTTCTACATTTTTCCATTTTAAAATCCTTATTTTATTTTTTAAATTTCTTTTCTTTTCTTTTCTTTTTTTTGAAGCTGGTGTCTTGGATTTCGAGATTGAATCCAAGGCCAAGAAAGCACTGTGCCATAAGTATATCCTTAGCCTTCTTTTAACCTTTTATTTTTCAGACTTATCTTACTAAGTTATCTAGGCTGCTCCCAATCCCAAGGCCCACTGTAACAAGGAGAAGTCTTTAACTTTTGAATCTTTGGCCTCAACCTTCCAAGTAGCTGGGATGAGATTTGTTCTATGAGTCCTGGCTTAATTCATATCTTTGGTCTTAAACAATTTCTCAAGCTATCAGTATAGTTTAAAATTGCATCTGATATACATACGGATGTTGGAATAAGGTAATTTTGAACAATAGATTTTATTTTTTAATGATTCCAAGTGTTGAAATACTTGCATTATAAATACAAAAATACATATATTCTCAGCTATTTCCCAGTTTCAAGTTAGAAGCTGAAAATAAGATGTTGTACATGTTTAGAATATTCTCCAAATCACAAATTCCAGCCTGACTTGGGAATGAACTTGTCTGTAGCTGTCAGCTAAGCAAATGCTGCCCTCTAGCAACAGCAAGCAAGAACTGGCAACAGTTAGCCATGGTTCTCTGCACTGAATGCTGGCAAAAACAGAACAAGTGGGCTCATAAATATTTTTCCATGTTATCAATTGTTTTAAATATAGAATATAGTTCCTTCTACCTTGCAATCATAGATATGGTACCTTCTATAAATTTGTAAGTATTTTCTTAAAATATTAATGATCTCATTAAAACTATGTTGTAAAATATTTTATTTTAGTCACATAGGAATTATTTTATCACCACCAATAAGTTA